CATGACTGTGAGCCATATTTATGCACACAGAAGAGAACGCTCAGAGCCTCCCACCTACTCTTTCTGTTCACTTACCACCTACTCAATCGCCCACACACACACCCACACACACACCCAGAACAAGTGCCCAGCTCCACAGTCAAAGCTGCACAGCTTCCCTGAGGCTGGAGGCAGATACCAGGCCCCACACGCTGTGAACACACGGGTGGATCCAACCACCTCCATGGGCTCGGAGCACATCAGCGTTCTGGTCTGGTACGACTGTGATCCCAGAGGTTATCACTGGTGGAGAGACCAGACCTTCGGGTTTCTGACTTCCACCGACTCAAAACTAAAAACTACACAGATTACGCCACATTCCTCCAGTGATAAAATAAATAAATTAAAAAGTGTATAACTTTCATTCACAGATTTTTATTCCCAAGCAAACTGGCATTTTATTAGCATTTTCTATTCTTAAAAATAATGGAGAACAGGGTTGGAGGTGCACGTTGTAGGCCGGGGTATCATCTGCTGCCAAACCTGCCCACACTGACAGCACTGAGACATGCAGGATAGAAGCACAGTCAAAAATGTTTCATTTTCATTTTCATTTTAAGGTTAGTCGTGGATTAATCACAAATAATCATTATTGTAATTAAGCATAATTAATGATGGTATTCTAGAAAATAAATATTATACCATATTGGTTTTTTTTCTGTACTGCTGGAACACAAACAACAGCAGGCAGAGGTCAGTGTTTCTCACCTGTTTTTATCAGTGACTAATCCAAATGATGGGATTATTAATGTGGACAAATGTCCATAAAAATGTCCAACAGTCTGAGTGAAAATGTCGGTGTGGAGTTGGTGTAATTCAGTCATGTTCATCTGGACGGTGTCTGGTAGAAGGTGTGGTTCTTTGTTAACAGTCACTCCAGTCGTTGTCCTCAACTATACAAGACGTCCTCAGTTTACGATGTCCTCCACCTACAGCGTTTCGGTGTTACGTCGACATCTCCCATCAATTGCTCCATCGTTCCATCATCAGCGTTAAAACCAATTTTGCACAGGAACTAGTTGGTGAGCGGTGCAGACGAATACATCGTCTTCAGTCGTTTGGAAACAAACTAGTAGTCAAGAGTACTCCGAATAATTTGATTTTCTAAAATACACATCCTGCTCCTTCTTCACATGACAAAGCAGCTCATCCACACACAACCATTATCCCAGTAACACGTTTAAAGAGGGCCAACACTGGTGTGAATGTAGCTGTGTGGGTGGACACAGAGCTGTGGGGCAGATTAAGTCACTTTTTTGGAAGAAAAAAGTTCAGTGGCTTTACCTTGATTTTAGACTCTCTCACATGAACATGAGTCCAAAAAACATCAGCAGTTTGACACCAACAGAACAGTGCGGTCTGCTGCGTGTGTTCTGGTGTGTCTGGAACCGTCAGACACACAGTCAAGTCAAAAACTGTTCTTCTACTGATTTTAATGGTGTTGCATGACCGAGGTAAAGTAAACATCATTATTTTTTTACACTTCAACAAGAACTACTGCCTTAGCCCTAACTCCCATTTAACACAAATTCCAATCCTAACTTCAACGATGTCGCAAACTTCAAAATATCCTTTGACTTAACGGGGACTTTCAAAATGTCCTCAGAACACCAGGTGTCCACACGGCACAGGTATGGGTTAATAAAACTGTAGCTGTACCAGAAACACAGAAGAAGTGGAGAGTTACCAAGTGTACAACGAGAGTCCTTTTTTGTTCATGTTCTCTCAAGACGTTTTGGAAAAAAACAAATCCGCCGCAAGGCCCGCGTCTTCGGAGAGTGTGGGCAGGTTAGCCTGTTAGAGTCTGGCAGCGGAGGGAACAGATCCGGCCTGAAAGAGATTTGGTGAGAGAATTTACTCGGTGTGTTCTCCACTGAGAATTAAACACACACACACAGAAATGTTAGCATCTGAACCCGTCTGTGGGTTTCATGCATTTTCATGACTTCAAAAGGAGACTTTAGGCTAAAGTCAACAAAACAGTGAATGTCACCGAAGGATCAAGAACTGAACATGAAAAAACAAACTGAGGAAGGAAACCGAGCTCTGCCGTTATTTCAAAATTTAGCATTTTTTGTAAGAAATTGTTTCCATTTGCTGAAAAAAGCAGTGACGGAAAATGTTGTTATTTTTCCTCTGTATTTAACCTATACAAAAACAAAACCAGTAGGTGGCGCTTTTTTCTGAGCACAGGAAAAGGGGGTAGTTTTTTCCATAGTGGGTTTGTAGGACATACAATGTGTAAAATCAAGTGTGATTTATTATTTAGGGCGGGGCATAAGGGGAGTGGGGGGAGGGGTCAATAGCAGCAATTATACTGTAATAAGAGAATACCACACTAATGGTGTGGTGATGAAGTACATGAGGTGGTGCAGGACATGCGAGTAAGTGGTAAAGTGTACATTGGAGGTACAGATTAACAGATAGGGTTAAGGTTACATCGTTGGTAACAGTATAACATGTAAAGACAGTCAGTACTGTCGTCAACTCCAACCGCCCAATTCTTTGGAGTTGGGGGCCGTCTCTCGGCCGTGTTGTAGATCAATTTATCTCTAATTTTCAGGAAGGTAGATTATTTGTTGGTCCATATCATCAATGACAAAAGACAGAGACAAAAATAAGTTTTGCATCAGTATCTGCAGATACTCCAAGTTGAAGTATCAGTATCAGACATGAAAGAGTAGTATCTATTGCAGTCTGCAGGGGGCAGACTAAACATTTTTTGATGAGGCGACGTGGAGCTGGCTCTGTGTATAAAAACACAACGTGAAACTTCTTCTATGATAAACACGGGCTGAGCTGAAGTGCTGCGTCAGCATGGACGGTCCAAAATATACTACTTCCTGTCTTTGGCCTGTTGAGCCGTAAAGAACAGAACTGCGGAGGAGGTTACAGTGTCGAGTCTGCAGCAGCCGGCGGCTCTCATGTCTTCAGAGAGATGAGGTGGGGCGAGGCCTGGCCACAGGCCACCACTATCAGATTGATTGTCTTTGTTTCCTGTGAGCCGAGCTTCAACATTACCTCACCCATCTGCCTCCCATCTCTCCACCTCCCTCTGAGCTTCTCTCCCTCTCTTCAGTTCTAAGCTCAGTGTGGAGTCAGTTTAAACAGAAGTGACTTCGTCAGGACTTCCCGTCGACTCCTCGTGAGGAGACGTTTTATAAAATCCGCTAAAATCTTAGAATGTGTGCCAAAACCTGCTGTTCTGATTTCACCCACAAGGTGACGATTACAAAAACCCCGTGCCTTGCACTGGTAGCTCCGCCGACGCTACCGCTGCAATCTGCCTCGACACCTTTACCTCAAAACTCGTACATTCCCTTTAATGCGATACAAAACATAAAATTACAAATCTCTTCATTTTCCCCGACTGTTGGACAAAGAAAGAAATACTGTATTGCCCCAGATGCCCCAGGACCCTGGTGGGGCCCCGCCATCCACTTTGGGAACCACTCTGTGTCTAACTGTTAACGTAATTCCTACATGTTTTTAATCTGTGGCAGAGAGAAGCTGCCTCCACACTGTAGTTCAACAGGCAGGAGATCGAACCAGCGACCCTCTTGGTGTAAGGCAGCAGTATTGTCCGCTTCTTCGACAACAAGAAAGCAAAAGCAGAAACTGAATGAAGTGGTAACATGAACGCCTCACTCCGAGTCCTGACATCAACGCTCTTTTTTTCCGCCTGTATTTCTTTCTCATTCAACAGGCCGCCGTCCCCCCGTCCCCCCCCCGTCCCCCGTTCTGAGACTGTACGGCACTGATGTGTTCTGCAGAGCTGAGCGTGTCTCCTCTCCCCGCAGGAGTTTTCTGGCAACTTACTGGAGACACGAAACACAGTATCCCTTACACTCAGCTGTCCTTCAGCCAAGTGTGCACACACACACACACACACACACACACACACTCCAAGGTTTACACTGATGCCAGGACAGTGATGTAGTCAGAGGAACACTTTGTTACAATGGCGCTGATCGCTTCATTGTCTGCGGGGAACTCCACGGCGCCCTCTCTGTCTGTTCTGTTCAAGCTGCAGAGTGGAGTGTGTCCAGAGTCCAATTACTGAGCTGCCACTGTGGCGGCCGCTGCCAGGCCAGTGGCAGTCAACGCTTCTGACATGTAGTCACTGACGGCTCTGCTTCACTAAGCACCGATTCAGCAAAAAAAAAAGAAGTCAAATAGTTCTAAGACAGCGTTGACCAGTTTAACCATCATGGCTCTGATCAGTGTTGACCTGTGACCTTTGATCTGAATTTTTAACCAAACTGGACTGGAGACCAGTTTTTCAATTTTATTTCTTTTTAATGATCTTGTTACATCTGTTTTACTTTTCTCAAAACTGAAAATGAAACAAAGACAAAGGTTGTGACCTGGGGTCAAAGGTCATACTCCAGGATTCTATAGAAAAGGAATTCTCTGACGGACACACCACTGAAGAAGAAGACGACAACGACATTGGTCGGACCTTATGATCCGAAAGACACTCTTGGATTCTAAAGGTGCAAACTTCAATGAAAATAAAAGTTCAAAATGCGCTAGCTTGTACCATACCTGCTAACATCAAGGCGACATTGGTTGGACCATATGATCTTGTACCATACCTGCTAACATCAAGGCTAGCTTACACCTTTAGCTTGGCTACTTGACTGAGAGATTAATTTTAGTTCCATTACTGACATCTGGTGGATTAATTTTAATCTGATAAATATTTAGTTAACTTTCATTTAAGATTCTTTTTTATTCTAGGTTATCCCAGAACTACAGCTTCAATTAAAGTTCTAAATCTTTTTGGTAAACAGTTCTTGACATGATGTGATTCATATTAAAAGAATAAACAGCGGAGCGTCGTCAGCAGGAGGTGGAGGAGAGTCGGTGGTCGGGGTTGGAGTCTGGTTGTTTTCTTCAGTTCTGAGGTGAAGCGGTTGATGATTTATGACATCACATAAAGTCAGACCAGTCACAGCTTTGAGTCACAAAGATAAAGACAAAAAAACTTTTTATTTCACTCTGCCTCCAGAAATCAGCGTCACAACACGATAAATTAGTAAACAGTAGCAACGGCTTTGAAGGAATCACGACGTCAATGATCAAATGAAAGTTCCGTCTCCACTCTTTCTGCCTCTGTCTCCACCTGTGGACTTCAGCTTTGTGGCTTTAAGTCCAAACACTTGGTTCGGGACCCACGCGGTACTGACTGGTTTGTGCGTGAGGGCGGAGCCAAGTGTCCAGTACAGAACGGTGGCCGTTATCACTGTGTCGTCACTTGTTCTTGCCGAGTGTCCTCTGCTTCTCGGCGTGTTCCACGATCTTCTCCTCCACGTAGAGGCCTTTGCGCCGGCGGACGGCGTTCATGTATTTCAGAGCCTGGTTGGCAGAATCCGCCTTCTCACCAAAGTGAAGATATTCTTCTTCAGTTGTGGGAACCCAGTACGGATCACTGCTAATGACCTGGGACAGGAAGAGGGGAGAGGGGAGAGACGCACGACAAGTGAGGGTCAGTGAGTGCAAACACATCCTCAGAAGAACCAGAACCAGAACCAGAACCAGCACAGTATTCGAGAACCGGCCAACAGAACACTGAACAAAAGGACCGTTTACTGATCAGTTATTAACCATCACTGAAACCACACCCCCAATACACACGCACATATATATATATATTACATATATATATTAGATATATATAATTATATATCTTACATAGCGTGTGTATATGTTAGATTATATTACATATAAAAATAGATATACATGCATATATGAATATATATATACATATATACTTACATAAATATATACATACATTATTTCATAATCCATTAAATGTACTTATCGTTGTTCTAACACACGTCATTTACACACACTGCAGGGAAAAGTTTTCATTTCGAAGCAGAAGCAAAATTAAAAAAACATTTTTTTCCATTTTATCTCAGTGTAGCGATGGATCACGATTAATCGTGATTAAACATGAATCATTTCTGTGTACCAGTGCACAGCACACTTCTGCTGCTACAGATCGGCGTCTTCTTCTTATGAACAGACAGTGAGACAAAGTGGATCAGCTGAACTCATGTGACACACACACACACACTTTTGAATTTGAATCAAAGGCTCCATACGCTACAAAATGACATGTGGGTCACATCAGTAACAATTACAGTGGTAGGGCTGTGCACCTGGCTCCAGTTACACTGGGACAGATGGTGCGGAGCGGGATCCAACAACAGGCAGATTAGAGCGCGTGCACACACACAACCAACAGCATGTGCTGGAGAACAATAGGTTTTCAG